AACAAGGAGAAAAAAGGGCTTTAAGGAAAACAGGGGGAAAACAAAAATTAATAAAATAGGGTTTTATATGTTTTTATTTTTTTATATGTGTGTTTATGTTTATATTTGTGTGTTTGTTATATTTGTGTGTGTATTGTTATATTTTTTTTTATATATTTTAAATTTTATATATGTGTGTTTGTTGTTATTTTTGTGTGTTTAATGTTTTTTTATATATATGTGTGTTTGTTTGTATATATTTTGTTTTATGTTGTGTATTATTTTTTTATATATATGTGTGTTATGTTGTATTTTATATATATATGTGTGTTTTGTATGTATATTATATATATTGTGTTTGTTTTATTTTATATATATATGTGTGTTATGTATTATATATATTTTTTATATATTTATATATGTTTTTTATATATATTTATATGTTGTATATATTTGTGTATATTTTTATATATGTGTTTTATTATGTATATTGTGTGTGTTATTTTATGTGTGTGTGTTTTATTTTGTATATTGTGTGTGTGTATATATATAATCTCTAAAAAATATATTTAAAATGTCTATAATTTCTAAAATTTGGGTAAAGAAGCCATTATTTATACCAAAAATTTTCCTTATTTCATTCCCCAATTCACCTCGTGGTCATGTGGGGCGTGATGAAAACCTTGTGCGTTTTTCGCTTCAAAACCATATATGCAAAATCGTTTTAGTGACCCACTATTAAACTAAACAATGACAGACTATCATCACTGTTTTCCGATATTGTTTGATATTTTTTAAAATTACATCTTTGAAAATTGGCAAATAACCCAAAAGCTTGATTATATTAAAAAATAATGGAAAAAACCCAAGAAAATTTTTTTTGGTTAATGATAATTTATCAAACTTATCAGAAGATCAAAAAATTTTACATAAAAAAAAAAAAATTTTTTTTTTAAAAAAAAAATTTTAAAAATTAAAATATATATATATATATATATATATATATATATTTATATTATTATATATATTATATTATATATATTATATATATATTATATATTATATTATTATATATTATATATATTATTATTTGTTTTTTTTTTTTTTTTTTTTTTTTTTTTTTTTTTTTTTTTTTTTTTTTTTTTTTATATTATATGTATTTATTGTTATTGTTATGTATTTGTTTGTTTTGTTTGTTTTTATTTTATTTTTAAAAAAAAAAAAAAAAAAAAAAAAAAAAAAAAAAAAAAAAAAAAAAAAAAAAAAAAAAAAAAAAAAAAAAAACATGCTTATTTATAACATCACAGGAATTTCCTCCCTGGCTCCAGAATCATCAGTTTTCTTAGGTATTGAAGGCATTTAAATAATATTCTGATAGTTTTTCATTAATTATTTATTGAGAGTAATTAAATTACTGATTATCAACCAATTAATTACTGTAAACTTGATACATATTTTGTTGCAAAATAATGAGCATTTTTTTTTTTTGTAAGAATTAAACTAAGAGAATTTTCTTATTGCCTAATTGTATGTAATTTGATGATTTAATGATTACTCAGTGTCATTTTGTATTTTGCAAACAGTTTCCCCAACAATATCTATTTGAAATGGCATGGTCTTCTTATATGACTGAGTCGGTAGATAAAACAATTTTGAAACAGATTATTTTTATAACAATTAAAATTAATGCACTGTTTCCTTAATTCACTAAGAAAAGAAAATGTCAAAAATAGTTATTGAGCCAATGCCTATTTAAAAAAAATTGTTTTAATTGCAGTAAGTTGATTGTTGGAATATTTTCCATCTGATAAGGAAAGTGCTTTTTCTCTCTCTCACACCCTATCTTTCTCAGTATATGATTTTTCATTGATTAAGACTATTTTGCAGACTGGTGTGATGTCATCCACCACTGAATGTTGGATAGCAGCAAGCCAGCCATGATGTGCTTAGTCATGGGCAAGTCGACTCCTTATATTCTGTTGCTTGATATGCAGTGGTGTAGAAGAGAAGTGGCCAGGGTCGTTTTTAATGATGGGGTAGGGATTTGGAGTGACTGGTGCGATAGTGTGATGTACATTTCCATTCATGTACATAGTTTCCATTCATGCTTATTGTATGTAATCCGATTTCATGACCACTGGATTCTCCCCTTTTCTTTCTTTCTTTCTTTCTTCATCCACAACTCAACTGGTTATTGTTATATAGAATTAAGATTTGAAATATATATATAAATGGGGTTGTCACCTTTTTTCCTTTAAGTATCTCAGATTAATTATAAAAGGGTTTTTCAGTAAAAATCTACAGATGGAGACATAAACTAATTTGGTTATTGTAGTTTACTACTTACTTAGTCTATATATTTATGCAGAGGTTGTTTTATAGATTTTAAAGTAACTATAAATAAAAATGAGAAGGTGACAGAGTGAAAAGTACTTAAAAATCACTTTGATTTCTGATTATTAATTGTTGGTTATAATAATGATCATTGTAAAATGTAGATTTCATTTATTGTCATGATGCAGTACGGGTTACATACCATTTATATTTTAATAAATGATTGCAATAAGGATATTTTTATTGTAGGCAAATGGGTTTAAGCAATGAAACATGGTTTAATGATTAGCAAGCTTGTCTCACTAGAGATCAATGTGTTGTCATAGCAAGCTTGTCTCGCTCTAGATCAATTATGACTGAGTAGTGACTTTGATCGTCACTGGGTGCTCCCTACTTTCGGCCTTGTGCCATATCTGTAGGTTATCCAGATCTGTATATAGCTGAGGAAGACCGGAAGGCACAATGACCAAAAAAACAACAAAGATGAGGACAATAGTCTGAATATAAATAGTGTTCAAATAATGATAACTCCTTATCCCAGAAATTCAGACAAAAAGCAATAATTGGTACTATTGAAATATTTTTTTTTTTTTTGCTTTGTGTGATGTCCCTACTGGACGTGGGAGATCATTGCTCTCGACAGCTTATCTTTTGTAGCTTAGAGTAAGGTTTGTCTTTTCACCACCCCAGTCATTGTCCTACCATCCATTTACACCAGTTTATTAGATAGGTTACTCGCTACTTTCTTCCATCCCTCTCACCTTCAGTGTGTACTGTGAGTGTCAAATTCTCTCTAAGCCTTTTCATTATTACATGTCCTAAATGAATGATATAACTAAATTTTTTTAGAATGAATATATTCACATATTCATTTATTAGAATTTTGTAAAAGAATATTTTGTTTTAAATTTTTTATTTAATAATCTAACCCAATCCTTTAGTAAAAAAAAATGGCTATTGATAATAAGAAACTACTAATAATTATAATAAATTGTATCACTCAATAAGTGTTAGCTATGATAATTAGATGAATATAATATAATAATCATATTGTGGATGATATAATATTTGTGTAATATGTGCTATGTACCTTCAGATCTCCACAACTTCCTGTCCCTTGATGCTCTAAGAAACTTTTGACCCTTTACAATCCCTCTTTGTCCCTGCTTCATCCATCCACCTAACTCATTAGTTAGATTACTCTGTTTCACACTGTTCCCCTTTCCTTCAATATTTCTTGTACATTTTTAAATTTGCCAAGCCCCCTTTCCTCATAATGTGTTTCAACTCTCTTTCTGATTTTGTCCTCCCCGCCCCCCCCCCGTTTTCCTTAAAACATTCTCATTGCTCACATGTTGTGTCCATGGTATTCCCTCCCAGTGGGTTAATATCTGGAAAGGTTAGATGCTATTCCATTAATTTGTTGTTTTTAAAATCTTTTATGGCAATTGTCTCTTTCTGATTTTAAGTATAAATGTCATTCTAGTTCTCATTTTCTTTGGAACTTTCCCATTTACAGATTGATAGTAAAATAGTAATGTTGTATACCAAACATACTATTTAATAAATAGTTATTTCAAATTAAGAAGGTGTTGTGTATTGATGAACAAAAACTAAAAGTGTTGAGTTGGTTGAAAAAAAAAGACAAACAAGACTCTGAAACAAAACAAGATAGAAATTTTATCTTATCTAAAACATTTTTGTGCAGAGAAAATTTTGAGGGATGTTCTTAAAAGATTCTCTGTGAAAATGGGAAAGAAAAAATTGAACTTACTCTTTTGGTGAGTTAGAGGCTGAGTCATGTGAATTGTCTATGCCATGTATGTCTATTGCAAAAAGTGTTAATTATATTCTTATATCCTGATCTTAACCAAAAGTGAAAGAAAGTGTGCTAGCCTCTTTGGATTCAAACCCTGCATATCCCAAACCTGAAAAGTGGTTGTTGCTGACATGGTTATCAATGCAAGCATGTCTAGCAAAAAGGTTTTAATGTCTGCCACATAGTGATAGAACAATGGTCATGATGTAATAATACTTAATGATATAAGCTACTTACCTGGCATAGCTCCAGTTTCAAACCTTTTGGCCAAAAACCAAGGTCTAACTTCATAGAACTATCCCTCTGGGCAGTACCTCTCTATTGCACTATGAAATTGTAGAGTCAGGGTTAATCTTGAAGCATCCTAAAAGGAAAGAGCTGAGGCAACATTGACAATTTTTGTCTCAACATATATGTGCTGTGATGTTCTCCCACTTTAAACATGACCTTGTGTCGTATTTGCCTTCATGGGGAAGCAAATATGCAATGATGTAATAATAACACCTTTAGTAATAATAACCATTATATTGCCATTAGGTGGCTTTGCTTAATATTTTATGGATGTTTTAAAACATATAAATAATAATATTTGTGAAGTATAAAGAAAATTTTATATAATATAACAATACATTTAAATTATCATTATGGCTTATGGCTATATCAAGTTGAAACACCAGTTCTAGTATAATCAGCGAAGTTAAGCAACATTGAGATTGGTCAGTACCAAGCTGGGTGACCACTTGGGAATACCAGGTATTGTAAGCTTTGATGTACAGGTAGTGTGATGAATAATAGCTCAGAATTGTTAATCGGAGAGCCAAGTTTCAATTCCAGTTGGGTTTGTTATATCCACTTATACACAACTACCCTTGGGAAAGGTATGAATCCACTCCTCCCATCAACTATGGGTTAATTAGTAGAACTTGTATCAGTAAATCATTATTACCACCAAAAAAATCTTACAATTTAAAAATAATTCTGGCTTTAAATACACTGCAAAACATTGATAATCTGTAAAAAATCCGTTATCATTATGGTGACATTTATAATGATCTTCATTCTATATGTAAATTATTATTCTGCATTTTCTTCAATGAAAATATATCATAGATTATTAGTAAATTTGTTTTTACAACTAATATTTGACCGATTTAAATTTTACAATTAATTAAAGACTAGTAAAACATTGACAGTGCAATACAAAATCTTAAGATCAATGTACAGTATGTGTTGTAATTCTTCCAATGAGATAAAATCAGAATTGTGAACTATAACCTTTTGAAAATGTGAGAATAAATGTATGAAAATTACTATTGTTGGGATAATATCCTCACAAACTTGGAAGCTGATAACCCTCGATAAGAAATTTCAAAAATAAATACTGAATAAAAGAAAGATTTTAGAATGACGAGATATTGGCAACAACCAATCAAGATAAAACTATGCAAATACGATCAGCTACAGAAAGAGCTAGAGAGGACACTTGAACAGGGTTCAAATCAACTTTAAAAAGACATAACATTCATCTTGAACACTTGCTCTTGCATAAATTAAAATAAAACTTTATAAATATTTTTGGCTTACATCCATAACACATTGAACCCCCGGTTCTTATACGATCACCAAAGTTAAGCAACATTTAGCCTAGTCAGTACCTAAATAAGTAACCACTTGGGAATACCAGGTGCTATAAGCTTAGATGTATGGGTGGTGTAATGGATAACATCTCAGAATTGGAAATCGCATAACCAGGTTTCAATTCCAGTCAAGTTCGTTATATTCATATATGCACAATTACCCTTGGGAAAGATGTATTAACCTCTTCTCTCTAAGCTATGAGTTAATTAGTAAGTAATAATAGTAGTAAATCATTATTATCTCCAAAAAAAGGGCAGTCCACTTCCAACCTGATGTTGAAGCAGGAAACTGATCCTCATAATCTACTCCATGGCTGTGAACCGGTGACAAAGAAGCTCAAGTTAAGACACAGCTTTCTGCATTCAGTCAAACTAGAGCACTTAGCATCTGTCCCTGTGGTGCAACCACCTTAATAATGTGGAATGCAAGCTTTCTCTCTCAGCCCTATAGTATCCCTCCCCACTTGACTTCAGTGATGTCTGGCCTTTCTGGTCCTGCCTGAATTGCCTCCAAACAGCTGTTTATCACTGTAGAGCCAACCTTCAGAAATGGGAATATGACAATAATGTTGATTTCAATTGCCAATGTGTGCAATTACAAACTATGCAGCATCTTCTATCTTGTCTCAATCTTGAAAATTCATTCACAGTTAATGATCTTGAAAAACTTAACAGCCCAGGCAAAGCTGTGTGTGCAATCCTGGATGAGTGTAGTGTAGCCACTCAATAAGTAGATCTCAAAAAAAAAAAAAATTACAATCCAAAAATATTTCTGGCTTTAAATAACCTGCAAATAGTTAATAAGCCATAAATACAAATTAGTCACAAATATTTTTGCTTTCATTGTTTTTCGAATATTTTTGTTTTTATTCTGTTCTTAGTTCAGTGGAATCATCCCCCCATTTTCTTTCTTAGATTCAACTGAAAGGTTACTTTATATATTTTTCTGCTTTAGTCCTTTATTTTTTTAATTAGTTTAATTACTAATGACTCTAATTAAACTCCAGTTCAAATATTCACCAAAACATGAACATTATCTTTAAAAAAAAATATAAATTACAGAAGTTTTATATATTGTTGAAAGTAATAATCAAATATTGTTTTTGTTTATTTTCTTCCACATTTATCATTATTTATTGCATAATAATATAAAAAATAATCCACAGATTCTGATATACTATAGTAATATAAATAAGAGTTTTTGCTTAACATATTGAAATTTGATTTCAAGTTGTGGGTTGGATTTATGAAGTTGTAAAATCCAAGTTCATCCCAAGCAAGGCAGTAAAGCTACTAAGACATAAGAGATTACTGTAAAATAAAAATAACTCAACAAAGAATAAAATAAAATCTTGTGATAAGACAAATATACTTCTTTCTTGTGTATATTTGTAAATTACACAAATAGTACAATAAACTAATGTAGAAGGTTTGAGAATTATATTTTTATTAATGAGATAGAGATTTTAAAAAATTAATGATTTAGACAAGGAAACTTTGCTCTGGTTTGAAACTAAAACTTTCTTTCTCTTTTATCAAAAAAAAAATGGTCGTATATCCTCAGAAGCCTCAGAAATTGAAGTCTCCTGTCTTACAGTCTACCACTGTGGTATACCAAGTATCAGCTGGTTTAAGTGAGTATAATTCTGTTTCAGTATTTGACTTGTCATAATTAAATGCTTGCAATAAATCAATCCAAGAGAAAGAATTTCATTGCTTGGCTACAAAAGCTTTAAACCACCTCATTTCCCACTGCCCCAAACGATTTTTATCTGATCTGTCTCTGAATCACTCTTATATTAGTTATTCATATGAGGGACTTGATAGTTTTGTAACAGTCATACTAATTGTGCAGTGAAAAATCTTCATTTTTTGCTTTCCTCTTTCTCAATGAATATGCTGGTAATGTAATGGATAGCACCAATGAGAAATTGGAAGCCGAGTTCAAATTCCAGTCATTTGTTGCATTCACTTACATGCAAATATCCTTGAGAAAGGTATGAATCTATCTCTGCGCCCCTGCTATGGGTTAAATAGTAGATGTAATTGGAAAAATCATTATCTTCAAAAAAAATTTGTTAATGCAAAAAAAAAATTTCTTACAATTCAATATTTTGGCTTTGTATAACCCACAAAAGGTTGATAAGCATAAAAAAAAAAACAGAATCAATCAATTGATCTCTTTTCACAGTTTAATATTGTAATTTTTTTCTGTTAAAAGAATTATATAAACTTGTTTTTTTTTTCTCTGAGTGGAGATATCTCCTTGCTATAATTTTCTGGATATGATAAGTTCTTGATTATAAATATATTCTTTTGATTTTCAAGGTTTTTTTTTGTTATTCTTACATACCATATATGCAGACATTGTTTTTGAAATGTCCAGTATTCAAATTGGTATAAAAGAAGAAAGGCTATTTGGATATTATAGTTTAAAAATTCCATCAATTGTTATATAACAATAACATTGAATTACTGATGTTTATAATAAATGTCATCTCAGTTTATTTATTAGAATTTTATTATGACAGCAATTCAAGCAGATTTGTATGTCAGCATTTAAGTTTTAACTTATAAATATTGCAAGAAATACTAACATGAAAAATAAAAACAATGTATATCTTTGAGAAATTTTAGCTTTGATTAAAAGATTTTCCATGTTCTTTTTGTTAAATTTTATGGAATTTGTAACAAAAGAAAAATGTCAGACATGGATAGAGACATTGTATCATTGATTAATGTTTGTTGCTTATTATTCAAGAATTAAAAAAAAATCTTACTTCTCATTTATATTTATAATTATTTGTACTTTGTGTATTGTATTAATTAGTGAAATTATAACTGAATTAGAATTTTGATTTTAATGCCTTCAAAACAAAACTGATCTTTTTTAAACACCCTAGAGAATCTTTTTTTGTCTTACATGGCTGATGCTAACCTTCCAGGAGAGTGACTCATTGCACCTTCTTGGGCTAATGTTTTCCACTGACATTAAGTGGAAAGTTTATATTGAATCAATTGCTAGGTCTGCTGCTAGGAAAGTTGGTTCACTGTGTCGTGCTAGACAATTGATCTTACATATTTATAAGTTTGCTATTCATCCATGCATTGAATATTGCTGCCTGGTCTGGTGCTTCTGCTATTTCTAACTATAGAAATTCTTTATAAAATCCAAAGAAGAATCTGCAATATTACTGATCTTGACCTGGTATTTTGGCTTCAATCACTTTCTCATCACTGTAATGTAGCTTCCCTGTGCCTTTTCTATAAAGATTTTCATGGCAATTATTCTGATGAAATTTCTTCTATGGTTCCTAGACTTTATGAATTTAAGTGTACTACTAGATTGGTGGCAAAGTCTCATCATTTTACAGTTGAAATGGATAGATGTAACTGTAAGTTCTATGTTAACAGTTTCTTCTATCACACTTCTCACTTATGGAGCTCTCTTCCAGTTTCTTGCTTTCCAGTCAACTTTTAAATGCAATGTTAAGTGTTATCTTCTGTCTTCTTAATTCTTGTTCTTATAATGTTTTCTTTTTCTCATATTCTCTCCCACTCAGTAACTTTTGTATCTTAGTGGCTTTATTGCCTTGCTTAGGGCAAAATGATTTTTAAAAAAAGAAGCTAATTGTATATCCCTCTAATATTGCTGTTATACATGAAGAGTCAATTTATCTACAACAGAATGTAATTACTAACATGATCATCTTGCTCATCAACCCAGTGTTATGAAGGTTAGTCTTTTTTATACCAAAGTTCACTCAAGAGCCACTCAACAAAATGGTAACGCTGAATGAGATGTGTAATATAAAGAGAAGATTATGAGGATAAGGAGGAAAGATGACAATTGACCTTTGACTTGAAGAGATCAAGATTAAATTGTTCAAGAAAGTAACCATCTTGTACCTGTAAAATAATTTGTATTCCAATGTCAGCTCGATGGAAATTTATGAAGCTTTAACACACACGCACACACACACACACACACACTGATAGAAAACAAAATTGTAATATAATATGAATATAAATTTACACAAGATTAAATCTACAGATAATAAGAGTTGGATTACACATATACAGACTAATACAAGCATATGTTCCAAAATAAAAGGTATATCAACAGTACTCAAAACCCATATGAATAAACTATATATCTTCCTTGGACATTAACAAAGGCATGTACTCTCACATACATACAATCATACAGATGGCAAATACTGTCCTGTGATATATTATTTCATACCTTTTGCACCTGTTGACAAAATACAGCATGAGCTGTAGGTAGGCTAACTGAAAGAGTAAGGTGTCATTCCATCATGTCCAATATATATTCATTGGCAGACAGACTTGGCAATTATGTCAACCAAAAGAGTTGTCAGACATTTTGTAAAGTATGTTAAGTGACATGGACATCATGTGAAACATTTTGTAGAACATGTTAAGTAACATGGGTATCATGTGGGTAGGCATTATCCTGTTGGAACAATACATTGTCTTTCATAATTGCATTATTCAACACATCCATCCATTGCTAAAGATACAGTTAAAATGACTGGCTCCCTGTACCGCTCCAGTAAGTACCTGACCCATACTAATCTCTGCCTTTATAAGAACTAAATCAGGTCAAACATGGAGTACCGTTTACATATTTGGGCAAGAGCTACCCAGTTCTCATTTTCCAGTCTTGATAGAGTTCAAAAGTATCTCAGTCCTTGTGCAAGAAGAATTATTTTCCATACTCCAACCTCTTTCTAACAAGTGGGATGTGGTGAACCTCTTACTGCTCTATTACTACTATCATGGAAAGTGCTCAGTTGAACTGCATTTCCTAGTTCCACCAGGTTTGACCTTCATGGCTAGGACCTGTCATGCCATTTACATAATAGCAAACCATTCACATTCCCTCTGTATTCCATTGGCAAGAAGTATGTTCCACTCAAACAGCTCCTTCCCACAAACTCCTTACAGGATGTTTCCCTTAACCTGTTCAAGTCTAGAGTTAACTGTTATCTTCCACTCCTATCCTTATGAGTTACCCCTTAACATAACCCTCTATCTTGAGTGGCCCCAGGGCCTTGAACCTCACTGCAAAAAAAAAAAAATAAAATAAATAAATAAAATCAAAATTAAATACTTTCAGGCCAGCTTTTACTTTTGACTCTAACAGATGCAGTTGTTATGAGACAGTAGCTGACATTCTTGACATGTTATTATTGGTCTTAATGTTTTGATTCATCAGTGTATGTATAATTTTTTTCCTCTTAGCCATCAATCTTAAATTTAACCATCTGTTTTTAAATATCAGCTCATTGATAGAAGACTGTATCTAAAAACAAATAAAAAAAAAAAAGAAAATTCACCTAGTCATCAGTCTTGTTCTTAAAAAGAATGTGTAATATCCACAGAGTATATAACTGAAGTTTTGATATTACAAGCATTAGCTTTCTTGAGTGAGTAATGTCATTTATATTGCTTGTTTTGAAGCCTGCTTTTTGAACTGTTGCCAAAGCACACTTTTTCATGATAGCAGCCATTACACTTTGGTTAGTCATGCAAGAGACTTTATTATAATTATTGACATTTTATTCAGAATATTTCCCAATGCTTTCATTGCATGAATGTCTGGATTTACAAGAGCACCAACTGTGTATGTCTGGTGTTTTTTCTTTCTCATTATAAAAACTACTCAACCAGTTAAATTTACTTTTAGAAGTTTTTATCTAATATATAATGTTTGTGATATTAAAAGTTGAGAAAGTACATTCTTCAAGAAATTTTACTTGTGGGTTTAGAAATGGACTTAATTAGTGAACGTTCTTCAGGTTTTTTTTTGGAACCTAAAGTTAAAAATGACACTATATAGAACTAATCAAAATCTTTAAGTGTAAAATGAATAAATTTTTATTTGATATTTACTTAAGAGTGAACATACACCAGCTACAAGACAATATTATTATCCTGCTACAAATAAATTTTATTGTTCCTTTTTGTCACTTGATTAATGTCTCTTGATACTATATTTGTTTATTACCTGTCATCAGAGCTGTTACAACTTGAAAATACACTGCAAAACAATGTGACTTCTCATCTTCAACATGGCTGCTCATTTCTGAATATGTCCATCTGCTCGGGTCCATTTATTTAACCTTTGGTTTATATTGCAACTTGAGTGGATCTTTGTTACAGTTTAGATATGTGCTCCATCAGGTCAGGTACAGATTTTTTTTTAATCAATTCATCCCAAGCAAGGTGATAATGTTACAAGAAGCTACTGGGAGTAAAAGAAAATGAAAAAAATTTAGAAGGAATTGAAAATCCAATTCTAAACAGACAACAAGGGATAAACCTCTACTCCTGTTCAAAAGATCAATGAAGAACATGAACCGGTTCATAGATGAATCTATCTACTCCTATATAGGAAATATAAATAAATAGTAAATAAAATTTCAGAGTTTAGGTGGTGATGTTACATGTATAGAGTTGATGTAGATTTTAGAAGGAACCAAGGAATAAACCCCTATTCTTGTTCAAAAAGCCAGAGTGTGAATCAGATAATAGGTGAACTTATCTAATCCCATTGAGAGAAAAGAAAGAAAGAAATATTAAATAAAATTTCAGAGTTTAGGCAGAG